AATATGGACCATGCATACATGATTAGTTCAATTAAGCAGTATAATCAGTGACACAAATATAAAGAGTCTTCAGAAATCAACACACCACAGCCTCAAAAATTAACAGCAAAGGGCCAAAAAAAAGACTGAGCCAGCAAAGAGACCATTATAATTCTTTTTAAAGTCAAAGTTACTGAACCATCGTGAAGCTTTAAAAAGGAATAAGATTTCAAACAGCGGGCGGTGCCTGTGGCTCAAAGGAGTAGGGTGCCAGGCCCCATATGCCAGAGGTGGCAGGTTCAAACCCAGCCCTGGCCAAAAACTACAAAAAAAAAAAAAGATTGCAAACAACAGTAGGCTTCACAAATTTCATATATGCACAGCATGCGAACAATTACCATACAACAAATAATCCTCAGCCACATCATAAATACTGAAACTAAAAACTTGTTGAGGCCAGGCACGGTGGCTCATACCTGTAATCCCAACACTTTGGGAGGCTAAGGTGAAATGATTGCTTGAGCCCAGTAGTTCAAGACCAGCCTGGGCAACAGCGAGACCCTGTGCCTATTTTTAAAAAAATAATAATAATTGGCTCAGTGCTTGTAGCACAGTGGTTATAGCGCCAGACACATACACCGAAGGTGGTGGGTTCAAACCTGACCTGGGCCAGCTAAACAACAATGACAACTGCAACAAAAAATAGCCAGGCATTGTGGCAGGTGCCTGTGATCCCAGCTACTTGGGAGGCTGAGGCAAGAGAATTGCTTGAACCCAAGAGTTTGAGGTTGCTGTGAGCTGTGATGCCATAGTACTCTACCGAGGGTGACAATAAAATGGTCTCAAAAAAAAAAAGAAAGAAAGAAAGAGTAATAATATTTGATAGTAGGCATCCGTAGTTCCAGCTACTCAGGGAGGCTGAGGCAAGAGGATCGCTTGAGCCTAGGAGTTTGAGGTTGCTGTGAGCTTGGATGCCAAGGCACTCTAACCTGGGGCAACAGAGTGAGACTGTCTCAAAAAAAAAAAAAATTGATACTAGGTACTTATACAAAGCACTGTTCTAAGAACTTGAGAGATATCTATTTAATCCTCACAACAACCCTATGAGGTAAGTCCTAATATTATCTTTATTTTATAGACAAGAAAAATAAGGGAGAAGTAGGGTAAAGAAACTTGCCCAATTTTACTCAATGAAGGGCAGTGCTGGGGCATCAAAGCTGGGCAGGAAAAGCCTGGAGAGCTAAACTGGAGGAGTCTGGAGTTCACCTCCAGAATATATATCATACTACTCGTAGCAGAAAACCAAGAAGCAGCACAAGTATTCACAAGTGTCATTCAATTATATTTGCTATTGACCTTTAATTCACAATAAGCTAATAGCATCTCATTACTAACAGTAGTTCCTGGCTTTCTCTCCAAGTTAGGTCTACACACTTTTCCTGGACAACCTCATCAACTCCTCTGGCATCAAATGCAGTCTACTTGCTATGACCCCCAAATCAAGATCTAGCCCAATTTCTCTTCTGCACCTTAAACCTACACCAAAAACCTAATAGATATTTAACTCTGAATGATTCATGAGTACCTCAAAATCAGCATGTCCAAAACTGAATCATCATCTCCATCCTGGTGCATCTCCCAACTTCAAACCCCTCTTCTTCCCATACTCCCCGACCCCAATGACTGCCACCATCATCCACCCGGTTGTAAAGCTGGAAACCTGCACATCCTGCAGGTCCTCAGTGTCCCCCCTTCCGCACCCAGTCAATCCCCAACCATGTCCGTGGCCCAAGAGTCTCCGCTCCCACTGCCTGACTTAATTCCATAACTTTGCAAGGCTATCCTTGTTTGCACTTTGTGTTGGACCCAACTGATTATTTTATGTAGTGCTGTCTTGTCCCATCTGATGGCAAATTCCATTAAGAGAGAACAGTGTACGTTTCTTAACTTCTTTCATGTGCACTTACTTGATCAACACGATGATTTCAGAGATAAATTTTTGATTATTAAAGATAAATTAATACTAAGAATGCATGTCCAGCAACATCATTTTTTAAAAGATTACTGCCATCAAAAATAAGACCCAGTGCCGGGTGTGGTGGCTCATGTCTGTAATCTCAGCATTCGGGGAGGCCAAGGTGGGAAGATCACTTGAGCTCAGGAGTTCAAGACCAGCCTGAGCAAGAGTGAGACCCAGTCTCTATAAACACAGAAAAACTAGCAGGGCATTATGGAGCCTATATTCCAGCTACTCTGGTTGCTGAGGCAGGAGGATCACTTGAACCAGGAGTCTGAGGCTGCTGTGAGCTATCACGCCACAGCACTCTAGAATGAAGAACACAGTGAGACTCTGTCTCCAAAAAAAGAAAGAAAAAGAAAAGAAAGAAGAGCCAAGTATTTTACCCAAAAAAGTAACCATTTCCTGTCAGAAATCCATCTACTAGTTATTACACGTACAATGTACTAACAATGACAGCCAGTATAGGTTATAGCTATGTTAAGTGCATTACACAAATCGTGCCACTTAAAATTCCCATTTTCCAGATGCAGAAACTAAAACTAGGTGTAACAAACTTAGCCAACGTCCCAAGTTAGAAAACAACAGTCAGAATTTGAACCCGTATCAGAGCGACAGTAGAGCCCACTCTCTTATAAGCATTTGCTATTTTTATCTCCGAAGGAGAAAATGAAATATGTTATAAAGCTGGTAAGAAAAAAATGAAGCATAAAGCTTTTATCGAGTTGTTAGCTTTAAACTTAAAAAGTGCAAGAGTAACACTGTGGAAGTCAGCAGTTAAGAAAGGACCTTTTTGGGAAGTCCACAATCTTTAAGAAATGTCAGGAAACCAAAAAGATTCAGAGCCACAGGAATACAACTGTCAAAAAAAAAGTCCTTCATGTGGATGTTTCCTTTCTTGAGACATCATCATTCACAGAAATATGGTTTTATTAAAACCAAAAATGTCTACTGTCTTATACATATAAGTATGTAGCACAAAGACATGCTACAGATTTTACAAACCCCCACTGTAATTCATTTTTTATTTGGAGGTATGGAGGAAGGAGGGTGGTAACCCATGACCACGAGTAGGTGGAAGGGCTGGAAACCAGTCTCGCCGCTTGCTTACTTCCAGACTCCTGAAATAGAAGTGAAAGGGCCGAGGGAGAAAGAACCCTGCCCATCATCCATCTTCCTCCGGGAAACACCGGCGCTCGGCTGGATTCACCACTGTCAACTAAGAGCCTCAGCCTACAATTCACCGAGGACGCGGCGGCTGCACCCGAAGG